ACAAGTTTCCCAAGGAAACCCATAGTGCCAGCTTGTACTATTGGCGTAGTGCTAGAGGTTGCTCACACAAACAGAGTGCTAGATACTGCCCAGAATGTCTGTAATTCCAAGAACGAAATGGCACAAAGCCTCATTCCAGCCTGGTAGCGTCAGAAAGCACCCCACTTCAACACAGGAAGCATGAGAAACAGCTTCATCTGAACCTGATGCACATCCCTACTTTGTGCATCTAAGAGTAATCCTAGGCATGCCTGTACTGAGCTCAGTATGACTTACTTCCGGGAGAGAGCTATGGAGAAAATGAGTGAAAAGTTACACTGCAATAAACTAGTTGCTCTCTGTGAGATTCTAGAATGCTCATTTTGCTGCTAACAGGACTAGCCCAGCTACTCTTCTGGAATTCATTTTCAGGTACTTATTTCTTCATTCAGTGCAAATAACAAAAGCACACCACAGCAATCTCCGGATTTTGGTAGATCTCCAAAAGCAATCATTTAACATATCAGTCCATCTAAGGACTTATTCACTCACGAAAGGAAATAGCTTGCCTAGCTTAATGGAATGTATCTCAATGGACTGTTTAACAGGCTTGAATAGGTGCTGCTGGACAAAATCTGTAGAAAACTGTTCTAGCCAGTAGATGGAGCCAATCTGGTGCCAATCACAAACACCAAGTCTTGCTCTCAAAATATGCATTGATTCTGCTTGTTGAGAATGAAACTTTCAAAAGGACCAAAACATTTATCACAATGTCATGTCTTCTTTTTAAAATCACATTTTAAAATTTTATGAGCTATAGAGCTTAGGGAAACTTCTTAAGTTTATAAAGAAACTTTTACACATTAAATAAGTTACATTAGCAAACACATAAAAACTGGTAGCAATAGAATTTTGCAGTCTCTTTGTACCTAATAAAATACCCCCTCCCCCCCATAAATGGCATCCCTGGTCAGCTTTCTAACCACCCACACCCTTTGCCAAGATACTCCGTTCCCAGGCCAGCCCTACCATTAAGCAGAGTGATGCAGTCACTTCCGGCAACAGATGCTGAGTAGTGGTGTCAACATATTGGCAGAGAGTTGTGGGTCATATGTCCTGTCTCATGCCACCTAAGCTAGCCTGCTGCTTTCTGCAGTGATGGGGGATAATGTTCCGTTGCCAGTGTTGAGGAAGTGTGGAAATGTTACAACAGACCATTGATTCTCTTTCTGGCTTTGGGTAACTAAAGGCAGGAGGCAGAAATGCTGCACCTGTGTCCAAACAATACTGAAGTCCAACAAGGATAAGAAACCACCGTTGCTTTTTGTGATGTGTGAACCTGGCTGATAAATACCACTGAGGGGAAGATTATCTTTGCTGCCAACTCAGAAGCTTCATGTTACCAAATCATGAGGATCATACTCAAAGAAAAGCAGAAGTACAGATCCAAATATAACAGAAGATATATTTTCTGTTGAATTCATATGAATACAGGGAACTGATCTCTAGTGTGATAACATTCAATAGAAAGCATGCACACATTAAACTGAATATGCTTTTCAAAACTGGAATAGTTACCAGTTTAGTAAAAAGTTTGAAAGAGGGAAGGTTACCCATGCTAAAAGGCATTCTATATATTTCCTTTCTGCTAGCAGTAATCTTAACAAAAATTGAATGTTATCACAATAAAAAGCCAATTTCTACATTTGCTGAATCATCTGTTACACTGAGTTATTAGGATGTAACTTAAGCGCTTCCATCATGATCTGATCCCAAACATCTAGAACTACCACTTTAAAATGATTGCTGCCTTTTCTATTGAAGGAGTGGAGACATTGGTGGCCCAGCAGCCAAAGCCGGCACGGCCAATGGTCAGGGATGATGAGAGCTGTACAACTCCCCATCCTGGTATTAAAGGGTAAACTTACCCTCTTTTTCTGGCTCTGCTGCTGTATCATAATAGAATCTTGACATACAGATAGTTAGCAGAAGATGTTCCTGTCTGGCATGAAAAACTGCAATTACTATATTATTCTATGTTTGGCTTTTATAAAAAATGGAAGGCATGTGTCAGGTGGGGTGTGGAGGGGAGGCAAACTTGCTTGATCATGCAGCTCATTCACTTCAATAGCAGGGGCACCAAAAGACCTTCTGAGAAAGGCTGTTATTAACCAGGCTGGTTCATGCAAGAGAACCAGGTACCTGGGTCCCAAGATGTTGAATCTTTACAAGCTACTTCCCAGCACTCACCAGGTATATCCAGACCCAGATCTAGTGGTTGTGCTTTGAACTGCATGCAATTAGTTCAGAACACAGCCGTTTGTTATAGCAGATGCGTAGAGCTAACACCTGCCATCGGGAAGCCTCCTGGCATGCAATTTGTCAGTCCTCCCATTCTACTACCACAAGCAGGGGATTCAGTCTGCTGCATGGGTGGGTCAGCCCTAGGTGGGAAGGCTTAAGAACACTGTCAGCTCCTTTGACAAAAGGTGGGATAACACTGTAATAAATATATATATATGTACTTAAAAAGTGAACATATACTTTACATAAGCATTGATGGACAGGTCTGCAAAGCCTTGTTTGATGTCTTAAAAAGTTAGCTTGTGTGAATTAGCTTCTCTGTCTATTTCATTGTCAGCTTCTATTTCATTGAGGGCAGTGTGGTGTAGTGGCTGGATTTGGAACATCTGAGTTCTAGTCCTCACTTGACCACGAAGCTCACTGAGTGAGCACACTTGGGCCAGTCGTGGACTTTCAGCCTAGTCTTCTTCACAGGATTGTTGCAAGGAAGAGGAGGAAGATCTTTTAAGTTGCCTTATAATTCCTTGCATGAAAAAGCAGGGTATAGATATATCAAAGGAAATGTTTGATTTCAAAGGAAAACTATGAGCCACGTTCACATTCTTAAGCACATCCTTGATGGAAAATAAACATATGAGTGCTCTGCTAGGAGTCTCGATCAACCTGAAACTTAAAAGATGGCAAATAATGCTTGAACACCCTACCTCAAACTTTAATAACCTCAGATGTCTGGGGGCCGTTGAATACATTTCAGTAGGCAAGTCTTTGGCTTTTGATGGTATTTACTGAATGCTTGCCTAATCAGTTCATTTCAGTTTCATTTTCTCTTCACTCCCAAAGATCAGAGTTGCCTTTTTTGCAGCTGTTGACCAACTGGATCTGTCAAGGCAGAACTGGCCTAACCAGACTTTACTAAGCCAAAGGCACAAACAAATAAGCAAGCAAACAAAAACAAAGGAAAGGAAAAGGCTAGAGCCTCCCAATTGCTTTTAGGTTTCAAACAAGGCTCTTTTAAGTGCAGGAAGGAGGATTTTTAAAATTTGGTTCTTTTTGCCAACAAGAAAGAACTAGAAGATATTATGGACTTCAAATCTCCCTGGAAACCTAGTAATGAAATTTGAAGTGAAACCATGGTGTAACTTACCTCTTCAGCATTGCTAATTTGTATTGGTTTTTATTTAAAAGGGCACCTATAAATATGTATTTATTATATTTCTATCCTGTCTTTCTTCCATTAAGGAACGTGAGGTAGCTTACATAATCTACCTCCTCTTTCTCTCAGTCTCATGCTCACAACAACCCTGTGGGGTAGGTTAGGCTGAGAGTCAGTGACAGGCCCAGAGTCACCCAGTGAGCTTTGTGACCAAGTTGAGATTAGAGCCTGGATCTCCCAGAACCCAGCTGAGCACTCTAATCACTACACTGCACACTGCACTGGCTCTCACAAATACAAATACCACGGTATCTTCAAGGAATGCTGGAATTAAATAAGAAATGCAATTGTATATCTGAATAGGCATGTCATGTTTAAAAAAGGCTTTGAGGAAGGAAGTGTCATATACATTCACTGTGATCTGTCAAAACTGGTGTACTGTACTTGATCTACTCCATTGAGAAGTGGAGGCCACATAATCTGAAGGAGTAGCTGTTGAACTCATAGACTTGTATTAAGAAAGTGAAGTCAAAATGGTCACATGACCCTGTGTTAGGCAGCATGGGGCCCAGAAGATAATGCTAAAATTGACTTTGGGAGGCTGGGCTTTGTATCTAGCTTCGATAGATAGAATGACACCCTTAGTAAGTCATTGTCTTTCAATCCAGTCTCTCTTTTCTGATATTACAGACTAGAATTTTCTATAGCTGGAGTCAGACAAAAACAAACAAGGGCCAAATGCACAGGCATCCCAGAAGCACAGAAGGACTACTGGCAGCATCTACACAAAGGCAGTGTTTTTTGGAACTGGTGTCTCCACGTAAGCCAATCATATGAAGCCTGCTGTAACTCTAACCAGATAGAGGAAGGTTGAAAGAGGGTCAAGCTGAAAGTAGATCTCTAGATGTTTGGGACTTCAGCTGGCAGAAGCTGACATTGCCTATGGTCAGGAATACTGGCTGGGATATTGGGAGCTCTTCTTTCTGCCCTACCTTGTAAAGACATGCATACTGCCTATGATAATGCAAAGTCATTATTCTGAATAAGATGAGTCTTCTCTGGAGATAAAGGCTTCAAAAGCACTACAAAAACCTTCTTAACTGCAACAACAGTGAAATGAATGGGCATATGGCCATCCTTGCTTTGGACAGAAAATGTTATCTTCTCTAAGAGCAGTCACGATCTCTTGCTTTGGCTGGAAAAAGTTACAGAAACAGGATCTATATGCGCAACAGATTGAATGGACGGTATCACTTCAGGCTGAGTTCAGGGATACAATTTCTAATTCTCCCCCAAGGTAAAACAAAAGCCAAAACAACTTCCACAGGGAATGGGATACTACATCATAGAAAAAAGCCTACCCTTTTAGTGCTATGCTGGTTTTTTGCTTATGTGGCAGCGTTCTAAAATGTGAATCCCTACCTGAAGCCTGAAGCAGGGCAATCCAGTGCATCATTTCATTCTGCTACATGCATAGACCAGGCAAGGGACACAGAGATCAGGGTATGCAGGTCAAGGTGCAAAGGGAACAGAACAGAATGTGTTCAATGCACATTCAGCATACCTTTTCCATGACAAGACGTGCAAGCTTTATTGGGTTAGCTATACATTTCACAGCAGATACAGCTCCTGAGGCTAGATTTTTCCCATCCATGATAATGGCATCCATTTCCACTTCACCCGTCTCATTTAACACAGAGCCATGGCCTTAAAAATAAAGCAGTGAAGAAAAGCATTAATGTCCAACTATACAGCTGGCCAGTAGTATTTATAAAGTCTTTTTAAATCTATGTGTTGTAAGCATTCTTCAAGTTCCTAAAATCCTAAGGTCTTTTCAGAAATAGTTGTGCATGTAAGCGTGTTCATTTTTTATTCTGCAGAGTTTGGAATTATCTGATCTGTCACCAGTATGAGAAGCAAAGTATTACTTCAATAGGATGGAAGCAAAAGTAAGTGCATAAGCAACTGATTATGATGAAAAGCTGTACTTATATTCAAACCACAAAAACCTCACTTTTCACTCCCACTGCTATTTTGAATCTTTAAAAACACAACCTACAAATGCCAACTTTAGACTGTACAATCCTGTGGCCTACAAACATAATTCAAACAAGTTTCTAGCCCACAGTGAAATACTGTAGATTCTTAAATATGTACTTGACTAGACACTGCTACCTCAGGTTACAAAACCACAGTAATACTGATTTCATAGTCAGCCATCTACAGAGGATTCATTACTTACACAGGGCTGAAATGAGTAATATTACAACTCTCAGAGGAATGCAGACAGCTCTAATGAAGCCCCATAAATCAAAACCCTTTTAATCTCTTAATTTAAAAAAAACTTCCATAAATTCAAACTAAGTAATGGTGCAGTTATTTGGTAGCTTGAATATCTGGGAACAACCTAACAACCCAAATTATATTACCTCTCTCTTCTGGACAAATGGGGAACTAGTAATTCAAAACTAAAATTTATGAATATCAAACAAATACTATATCTATTCTGATTCAATCCTTCCAGGAGATTCCACACATTTCCAAAAGGGGAACCCCTAGTGCCAGCAATCAAAAATATGTTACCACTATTCCATCTTTTTCTCTTAACATATTTTTTCTGGTAAGAAAAGAGATGGAAGAATCAGTGGGAAAGCATGGAAGGGCTACACATTGAAGACAACATCATCTGAGCCCCCTGTAAATTTCCATTAATGTTGCAAGGCAATCACAGGATAAAAGCTGGAATTGTCCAAAGTGCTCTCAGAGTGGGTTGAAATTAGGGAAAACCAGTATTCTGGCTCACATGGAGGGCCTGCATTATTTATTTATTTATTTAAAATATTTCTATGCTGCCCCCATCGCAACAAAGCCTCAGGGCGGCTCACAAAAAATACAAAAAAACATACATAAACAATAACAATATAACAATTTAAAAGAAAAAAAAACATTAAAAACCCCCAGTGCATTCTTGGCTAATTTAAAATCCTAATAAATACAACAATTTAGCAATTAAAATAAGTTTTAAATAAAAAGGTCTTAGCCTGGCGCCGACAAACAAATAATGACGGCACCAGGCGGACCTCTCTGGGGAGCGCATTCCATAGATGGGGCGCCACCACAGAGAAAGCCCTCCTCCAGGTACTCACCCTCCTAATATCATTCACAGAGAGTTCCCAGAGAAGGGCATCCGTTGCTGATCTCAAGCGGCGGGAGGGCATATATGGGTGCAAGCGTTCCTTTAGATATCCAGGTCCCAAGCCATTTAGGGCTTTATAGGTCATAATCAACACCTTGAATTGGGCCCGGACTTCAATCGGAGCCAGTGGAGCTGACGGAGAACTGGGGTTATATGAGAACAACGCCCAGTCCCCGTCAGCAACCTGGCAGCTCTATTCTGCACCAATTGAAGTATCCGGACCGTCTTCAAGGGTAGCCTCACGTAGAGTGCGTTACAGAAATCTAATCAGGAAGTTACCAGCGCGTGTGTCACTGTCGCCAGGCAGTTGTTCTCCAGGAAGGGACGCAGCTGATGTATCAGCCAAAGCTGAAGGAAGGCGCTCCTCGCCACCGCTGTCACCTGAGCTTCTAGAGACAGCTCAGTGTCGAGGAGCACTCCTAAGCTGCGAACCCTGTCCCTCAGAGGGAGTGCAACCCCATTTAGACAAGGTCCAAGTCCCCCATCCCGAGGCCCAAGCCACCCACCAACAGGACCTCCGTCTTGTCTGGATTGAGCTTCAGTTTATTGGTCCTCATCCAGCACATTACCTCGGCCAGGCACCGGTTCAGCACAGCCACTGTCTCACCTGGATTGGTGGAAAATGAGAGGTAGAGCTGGGTATCATCAGCGTACTGATGATGCCGCAGCCCACACCTCCTGATGACCTCTCCCAGCGGTTTCACGTAGATGTTAAACAGCAAAGGGGACAAAATCGATCCCTGCGGAACTCCATGGCATAGCTGCCATGGCGCAGAGCCGTAGTCCCCCAGGACCACCTTCTGGAATCAGCTGTTGAGATAGGAGCGGAACCACCACCACGCGGTGCCTCCAACTCCCAATCCTGCTAGCCTATTCAGAAGGATACCATGGTCGATGGTATCGAAAGCCGCTGAGAGGTCCCGGAGAACTAACAGGGTCGCACTCCCCCTGTCTCTGTCCCTGCACAGGTCATCGTACAGGGTGACCAAGGCAGAGTCAGTGCCATACCTGGGTCTGAAGCCGGACTGAAATGAGTCCAGATAATCAGTTTCATCCAAGAGTGCTTGGAGTTGTCCCGCCACCACCCGCTCTAGCACCTTGCCCAGGAATGGGATGTTGGCCACCGGTCTATAATTGGCGGCCACCTCTGGATCCAGGGATGCCTTCTTTAGGACTGGCCGGACTACCGCCTCCTTTAAAGGGGCAGGTACCCGGCCGTCTCTTAAAGAGGCGTTGACCACCTCCAGGATCCAGGTCCCAATCCCGTCCTTGGCTTTCTTAAGTAGCCAAGATGGGCATGGGTCTGTGCATGGACACAGAGAGTGTTCTTCTTCAGACCACTGCCCTGCACAAATACAAGGAGCTGGAAATACAAGGAGAAGGGGAGGGGGATAAGTGTTCCTTTTCATGTGCTGATTTCACACAGATTAAGAACACCTAAACAGGACTTATGCTGCTTTAGGGTGACTGGGTGCAAATTAGAATAGTGCCTGCCCAAGACATTATAGTGTTCAAACACAAATTCTATATGGTGACACCTCATTAAAGAAATGAAAAAGAAAAAGAAAATGAAGTTAAAATTAAATAAAGGCATTTGTTGCCCTTTAATGGTGCCTAAAATCTGCTACTTGAGATAAGCACCTCATTTTGCTTTCTAGCTGGGATGAAAGTGCTTGTTTGACAGCACACCTTTACTGGAAGAAATTCCCCCCTCAAAATGGAAGCTCATCTGAGCTCTCTCAGGGCAATTATAAAGGGTAACATTCTTCTTGCCCCTATTTGGCAGCTGCTTGACCAGTTTAGCCATTTTTCACTCCCTGTATCATCTGCTAGTGTTCCAGCATCCTCCTGCTCTCCTGTCAACATTATATTCTGCCAGCCTTACAATAAAGCTGCTTCATCCTTTATGAAGATAAACATCATACGGTATGTTTCAAAACAGCAACTCCAATCAGGTTCCTTTTTACACAGTTCATTTTGTCCTGTTCACCAAGAGCAGCTGAACTGAATGAGCCTGAACACATGTAGATGTGATTACAGAACTAGATACCATGTACACCAGGTATAGCTGAACTTGAACAAGCTGGCTGCTCAGCAATCACAACCACAGGTCCATGGACTTGCAATTTCTTCTCAAACATCCACATCACCGGATGAGTGAAGCATATTACTACCAAGCCACCAAAATACTGAATTATTGGAACAGAGGATGCATTCTTAAATACAGCTTTGCTAATTTTAGAATGAAAGATTCTGGAAAGAAAAAAGAAAGCTTTACAGAAATGCTACATTTTATATGCTTGCTAAATGTCAAAGTTGTCATCAACTGATGATAACTCAGATTATCTCAGAAAGGTTATCAGAGATTTGTGATGGTTTTAATAGCAGCTCTTCACAGTCAGTAATGTCTGTCCCCCTTTCCGACTGAGATCAAGGTGGGGAGTTGCTTTTGATTTGTGTGATGTGTTGCACCCCTGACCCATGGATTTAATTGTTCCAGCAGTGTTTATGAAACACGGTTGGCCCAATACTGGGGAAACACATCCTGCCAGCAAACACTATTGGCGTTGTCCTACCTCTTGTGCAACATACACAACAGCTTTGGAGCCAAAAAGAATAGTGCCCTTTGCTGCCCAGGCTGGAACAAGGTACCCACAGTGCCCCACAAGTCAAGGTGTGGTGTACTCCAGGCTAGCTATGTTATTTTGGCACCTGCAACAGAAAATCCCACAAATGCCTTTTGCCAGCAAAAACCCCATTAATAATACATTAAGGAGGACTTTCAAGATGGCGTCGGAACGACACGGACGTGATTAATGGAGCTTCTGTTATCACACCGGTATTGCTCGGTAGCGAGTCGTGGGAGACTCATCTAAGCCCTGTCGGGGCGAAGACAGATTGCCTGGCATCTTTTCTTCTGGTTGGTGTAGGACGGCAATCCTATATCTACTGGAAGAGACTCAGGCATTTCTCAATCGGGCAATACAGGGGGTTTTCTTAGCCCCTGCCAGTTCTCGACATCTGATGGATTAATTAGCTTACTTTAGCCAGATAAGCATCGGACAGCTGGTAAGCATTCTTATTTCTTATTTCTTTTCGCAATATTACCCGTGGAAAAGCTGTACTTGTTTATAATTGACTTAAAAGAAAGAGAAAGCCCTCTCAAAGTTTTTTAAGCAGCAACTGACATACCAGAGAATGTGAAGACTCTTATCTGAACTGAAGCCGAAGAGAAAGATTTTCCTTCTAATCTCTCTAAGGGCGAAGGCAAAGTGAATAATTGCTATGGAACTAAATCAAAGGATAGAAGATTAGAAGCTGAAGCGTACACTTTGGATGCCTGTTTGGACTTCTGCCAAGGCTAATTGGACACTAGCCAGGAAAGTTTGTTACGTGGTGTTTCCTCTCTACTGTGATGACTTTCTGGTGAGCATTTTTACTTTCTTTTACTTACTTTCTTTTTGCAATATTACCTGTGGAAAAATTATATCTGTTGATAACTGGCATAAAG